GGTCTTTGTTTTTATCTTTAGTTTCCAAGGGCTGCTGTTGTTTTTTCTGCTCTTCTCCATAGCATCTGTTATAAATTTTATTTGAAAATGATTGTAGAGATAAGCCATTATCAAGGTTCCGTAAAGAAAAATAGCATAGTTCAGTAGGTTTCAAGTTCCTTAGAAGTTTATTACACAGATACATCACTAAATGTCAAACGTAATGTTCTACTTTCACCAATCATTACATTAAGTTTTATTTTGGCAACTCCAAATTAGACTAAGGTCAAACTATTAATAAACAAAAAGAGGGAGCTCTGGTGGCAAGAAGCTGTGTTTGTAATCCCGAAGGTGAGCAGTTCAAATCCACTAGATGCTCTGCTGGAGAAGGAGGAGCAATCTCTACCTGTGCCAGCTGGATCCAATTAGACAGTACACAACAAGAAAAAAGAAAATAGTGTAATTTTTTTTAATATAAAAAAATGAAGTCTTTTCTAGAAATTGGTGATATTTTAAAGTCACTCAAAAATGACATAATGCTTGATTGTTTTGTACCATCGAGTTGGAAGTGATCCATAGCTGACCCTCCAAGTGGGTTTTTAGAGGCAGTAAATCACACAGGAGGAAAATGCTCCTCTTTTGCCTGTGAACGAGCTGGTGAATTCTAACCACATGCCTTTAGATTGGCCCTGGAACTCCTTACCACTAAGCCATCAGAGTTCCTGTAAAGCTTAATAAGGGGGTAGCAAAACAAGAGAAACCCTTAGTGATGGATTGGCACAAAAGCCACAATAATGGTGTCAAACATATAAGCATGACACAAGACTGGACACTGAATTCATTCTGTTATAGCATAGGAAGCCATGTGTTAGAGTCAATTCTATGGCAACTAACAACAGTATTAATATCTTTAATCGTTTGATTATATACATAGTCATATCCTCTTCAAAGTAGATGTTAGTATATAAAGAAGAGGGCAATTAAATGTTTATAGTTATAATTTACTTTTTCAGCTAAAAAATTGAATTATAGTAACTTGACAAACTTGAAATTTAATACACATAGCTGTACCTCCCAAAGCCTTCTTTAATACAATAATCACATACCTCTGATTCTCTTGAGATCCTTTAGCTTCCACTGTATTCTGTTCCAGATATTTTTGTATTAGTCCCTGTGTTCGAGCTTTCACTTCTTTATCTATTGCTGCTTTTCTAAACTGATTGAAGAGCTCATTTGAGGACTTTAGCACACCAGATGTTTTCACTGGTTTGCCTAAATTCTTCCAAGAGTCTACATTCTTGATCTTTATGTCCTAAAACAAATGTTTAATTAGTGTATACTTATAAGTGTCACCAAAATTTTAGGAGAACAGTAATTTTTTATATACGAACAGCTCTAATAATCACAATGTTTCTTTAGAAAAGGTACTTTAAAACTATTCTTATGCATACTTATTGATAGCAAAACAAATGAAACAAAGACTTTAATGTAATTAGTAGTACAATTGTAATAAAAAAAAGACAGTGAGATTCGCTCAGGATAGGACAGGAATCAGAGTTAGCTATTGTGTATAAGGTTGCTATAAGGCATAGATGACTCAACAGCTCATAAAAACAGTAAGAAGTAAAAGAAAAAATAATAATAAAGAGTATGCTCTTTATAATGGACTATTACATTTCCCAAGTGTGTACAAAAATAATCTTAATGTTGTTGTTGTTATGTGCCGTGGAGTCGCCTGCGACTCATAGCAACCCTATGTACAACAGACCTAAACTCCTCTCTGTCCTGTGCCAATCGCACTGTCCCTGACACTCCCATCCCAATTATCCCAGTCACTGAATCAATCCACCTCTTAGAGGGCCTTACTCTCCAGCGCCGTCCCTCCACCCTCCCAAGCATGATGTCCCTCTCCAAGGACCGGTCTCTCCTCACAACATGTCCAAAGTAAGTTAGACGGAGCCTCAG